CCCCCCTCCTTTTTATCATTGTTCCCATTTTGAAAACATCCCCAATTCGTATTGGTTCTTTAAAGATAAATAAATTTCAATAAAAAGCTTTTGTGTGTATTGTCTTGAGCACTTGGACACATCAGGTATGGATCAGGTATGGATGGTGGATAGCTTTATTTATTTATTTATTTTTTTCTGGCCGGACTTCCATAATCATTCGGTGTGGGGTATGTGCTCATCAGACATGCCGGTCAGAAGCCGCCTTGCTCGTCCTTTTCCTCAACAGAGGGTGAGTCAGCAACACGTGGAAGGCACAGGACACTGTGCTCCTGAGGGGTGACTCACAGCCCTGATAGATAATCACGACTCAAGGAAAAGACCGAGAGGGCGCCCTCTGCTGGTTAAAATGAGCAACGACAAAGGCTGTTTAGGGCGGTTTGGGTCACCTTAAATTGATTCTTTTCAATTTATTTTTGACACATTAGGATTCCAAGACGTTTGGCAACGTATTAATGAACAATAAATGTATATATATATTATATACAATGATTGGAAAACATCTTGGGCGTGATGTGAAAATCTTCTCTTTGTTTCTTTTTTTTTTCTTAAAGTTGAATAATCAGAGTTCATCAGTTACCTCCAAAGCTGCGGAGCCACAGATTAGTTCCTGTTCGAGAGAAGTTCAGGTCTCCACGGCCTGATTTGAATAAAACTAGAGCCATTTACTTTTTAAATCGCACACGCAAAACCTCTCATTTGCATTCAACACGTTGTCCATTTGCTCTGGTTGATGTTTGAAGACTTCAGTGTAGAGTAACAGGCGGGGTTACAGAATAACGGCAACATAACTTGATGTACAAAGGGTCGAGAAGTGGACGATGATTTGAACTAGAAACTTCTTTTTTTTTTTAAATGTATAAGTGACTCGCAGATCAAGTAACAAGCAGGATTGGAGTAAATCATTACTCGGGACAACAGAAGGATGAGTAAAGAGATGCACGTCATCTCCTTATTTGCCACTCTTTGTGCCAGTGGGTGTCACTCAGGGCTAACAGGATCTTGGTCATCTTGTAATCGGAGTACATATGACTCAGTCGTTGGTCACAGTGAGTCATACGTTGAAAGGCCGTATCAAAGCCTCACACCTGTTTGTAAGACAAGGCGGTGGTTTGATTTGAATCCCGCAGCAGGTTTAAAACTTCTTGTCCAACATGTCCGTGTTACCCTCAGGGTAACATTTGGGTTAAATATCCTCAGGCCGCTCCCCAGTACCGGTTGATGGATTTAAAGAAATTCCTGTGTCATTTTCCTTTTTTTTCTTAACGTCTCTAACCATCACAACATCGTGGATGACTTATCTGATCAGCCCAAGGCTGATCTTAGTGCGGCGACTCCTAACCCCCCAGCACAAAAGAACAAAGAGGGTTTCAGCAGACAGGCCGGACGCCACAAAGGCCGCCGTCTTCCTCAGAGCAAAGGGCTCATTTTCAATTAGAATTCAATGTTGAGATTATATCATTTTTTCGTGTGGCAGTACTCGCCTTTGTGTCTAGTGAACACTGAGATCTGTGAGACCTAAAAGCCTCAGAGAAGTTGATCAACTGCCCCAACGGCCCAAAAAAGAGAATCTTGTTTCAAAAAGAACCCCCAATCTGCAAAATGAATGATCAAAAAAGGAAATTAAACCTTACCGGTGTATCGGTATCAGAACGTATCCAATACTACTAATGAAATATATGGCCTATAAACAGTGTTGGGGAGTAACGGATTACATGTAACGAAGTTACGTAATTTAATTACAAAAAAAGAGTGACTGTAATTCGTTACAGTTACAATGAGAAAATATGTAATTCAGTTACAGTTACTTCCGAAAAAATGAAGAATTACAAATTTAGTTACATTCTTTTAAAAATATAAAGAAAAACCTTTGCAAAATATGCAACTCACTGATAGACGAAGCGTATTGATTTACTAATATTTGACTGTTTGGTGTTGATGCATGACAAACGTTTATCGATGTCTATGACCTAGCCTAGCTTAGCCTAGCCTAGCCTACCCATGTCCTACATTTCAGACTAGGGTTGTATAATATTGTAAATGTTGTATCCGGATACGACTGACTTGTCTCCGATTTATTTATGTATTTATTTACGTTGTTTATGATCATTAACGTGACGTTAGCCTTGAACTGCTAGCTGCGGCCAATAGCTAATAATAACATGCTAAAATTAATCATGGGTCAATACTCATTAAAACCTTAAAGTAATCAAAAAGTAATCAAAAGTAATTAGTTACATTACTTTTTAAAAGTAATCGAAAAAGTTACACTACAATTACATTTTAAACAAGGTAACTTCTAACTGTAACGGATTACATTTTTAAAGTAACTTACCCAACACTGCCTATAAACTCAAAATGATCACCAAAACAAGATTCCTGTTGGGTGAAGAGAAAGAAAGACCTGACTAAATCAAGCATCAATTAGGATTTGGACATGCTGATTCAACTCCAGCTTCCTCCTAACATCCCAAAACATTCATTTTAGGTTAACTGGACACTCCAAATTGCCCCTAGGGGAGATTGTGAGTGTGTGTGTGTATTTTTTAAATGTATTTATACATTTTTTGTATCTCTTTGGCCCTATACTCGACTGTCCAGGGTGTGGCCCCACCTCCCTCCTGTTGTCAGCCTGGATAGGCCCCAGCCCCCACCCCCCCACCCATCACCCAACCCAGTTGGGAATAAGCGGTGTATGGAAAATAGATGGATGCACATGCTGAATCAGGTGTGGCACTTCCTCCCCGACACACCCCGGCGAACCGTCTCCCCGCATGGCCGACTCCCACACAAAAAAGTGTAGGAGGAAATATGCGCGCATTGATTTGAAGGCTGCAGGCCCACTGAATTATAAAAAAAAACAGACTCTGCTTCTTTCTTTTGTTCACGAGCGACGGTCCGATGTTTCCTATTTTGAAAGATTACACAGGGGGGAAAATAGCTCCACTCTTTAGTATTTACACAACTGAAGCGGTTATTGTCACAACTGCTGCTCTGATAGCGCCGGACTTTTTCCACTTAGTTTCCACTTAGGCTTTTTTTCTTTTGGTAGCTCAATTTCTCTTGCAGTGATTTCCAGATCGGAATCATGTTCGGTTTTTAAAGCAGAGTTGCCACTCCGGCCTTGAGCTCTTCGACCGGCAAGCACTGTGAGGTCTGTTGTAATTATTCCCTCTGAGAAATTGATTCAAATACCTTTGATCAAACCAAACCACCTCACTGGAATGGTTGTGAGATATTCCACTCTTTCTTTTTTTTTTTTCAGTAGATGCAGACTTTTCACCTGCCTTGATCTGTGCCTGAGTGAACAAGAAGCTTTTTGCTTTTCAGGATTGGAAATTGAACAAACGAGGGAGATTTATCATGGAGGATGTCTCAGAGACATCACTATTCTAGTGTAAGGCAGAGAATATTGCTTTAATCAACCCTCTAAGACATATTAGAAAAAGCTACACCAATCAGTCCTAAGTTGAACTCAGGGCACCAGCAATTAACCCTGTAATGCCAAATGAATCATATTTGATACGTACGGTTTCTGAAATGTTTTGCGTCTAAACACCTTTTGCATAATTTAATGGTAAAATCTTTGCTCAAAATCCTATTATACACAATCAGATACACCTGATAACAGGGGGCAGAAGACTACACAAAAAATAATCTTGACTTATCGCATAGTAATAATATTAATAATATAAAGTTATTAATATTAAATAAATTAATATTAAATAAAATTAATATTAAATTAATATTATACAATTTTAAAATAAAACATTTAAAAAATATAAAAAATATATAGAAAAATATATTAAAAAATATATTAAAAAATACAAAAAAATACGAAAAAATATAAAATAATATAAAAAAATATAAAAAATATAAGAATATATAAAAAAATATTAAACGTTTATTTCTGTTTTTTCTTTTTACATATTTTGGTAAATGGCCAAATAAAGGGTTAATGGGATGTGTTTCCAATGGAAAACGTGGCAGAGAGAGGCCAGAATGCTGGGAAAACGTGGATCTCCTGCAGCTCCCAGGCTTCTCCAGAGCTGCAGGATCTGGGCCACGCCGCCGAGCTTCCGGCGCCACGAGGTGCCATTGTGCGTGGCGGCCCGTTTAAAAATGCATGCTCGCTCGTGGCCCTGTATCTTTAATGAGGCGCGTCTGAAATATTTGATGGCCTCGCGCTCATTTGCAAAACAAATACGTTTATTTTCCATGCATATTTGATACGGAAATGAATATATGTAAAGCGCACAC